CTTGGGCTACCTCATACATGTACATGTACGGTAACGTGTAATCCGAAGTTGGTCTCTTCGTCAGAGATGGGTTCAGCAAGATCTCTAAGTCGTCAAACACAGCAATATTCTCGGTGTCAAGATTCTTTGCGTTGAAGAAAACAAAACCAGCTTTTCAACGCGGCCTAATTAAGACGATTGCGCACGGAGGAATGGATGAGCGTGTGTGTCGAAAAGCTACGTTCTACAGCTGCTCTGGAGAAAGACGTAGAGAAAACTTGCATCGCCACCTTTGGACGCAAGGGACATCTTCTCAGACTACCCCAATACTCTGTTATAATAACGCGCTTGTTCTTCAGCAGCTTAAGCTCTCGAGTTTCTTTTTGAAGACCCTCATCAACTCCATGGTCGCTGCCTTCTCGTGTTCAGGTCCGTTCCAGTTGGCCACGAAGTCTATGACGCTGATCTTGGTATCGTCATCCATTTTTTCCCGCCGCAACGGGGTCGAGCAGACACGACACTGCATGAGCGTCGCTGTAATTGAAGTCAAACTGATCTTCCAAAATGCCGCTGATAATCCCTAGCTCCGCAATAGGCATATCCATAGCCCCGTACGTCAGGGGGAGCTCTATGATCATTCTATAGATATTCAAAATGATGCAGGCTCCGCGCTTGAGAACCTGCTGTACTGCAGACAACACGCTCTGCAGACTGATCGCCTTCTTCAGCTGAAAAATAATCACCGGCAGTATCCACGTCGTATACCACACAGCGTTTCGCTTTCTGCTTCTTGGATTTGCCTTAAGAAATTCTCGCACACTGACGATCGAAAGAAGCAGACTTTCCGATTCGAGAACAGACACGAAACACTTTTCAATCAAGCCCCATCTTGTATCTGCTGGCATCACAAGGAATTCTTGCCTTCGATCTTTTTGCAGTCGACGCAGTATATCCCACAGCAGTTGGTGCTTCTTAAAGTACTTTACCATCTTGCGGCAGTTGGCCTGCAGCTTTCCTAATCACTTGATTTGAGTAATCCTGTCCTTCACAGCGATTTGGATCACGTGAGAATAGCAGCCGTGAAAAAAAAACGGTAAGGGTACTCCTTCTGCAGCGCTGACCACATCATCCTGTTGGTCGCTGTATTGTCAGTTACAGCGACAGCAATAGTCGTAGATCTCACGGATTCGATTACACGTTTGACGACAGCAGCCAAAAATCAGCATCGTGGGAAGTGCTTCATAAACGAACTTCGAAATGTATTGCTCCCCCTCACATTGCAGCACGTAGTTGATTACGCATCTGCCGTTGATATCCGTCCCCCATCAGTGTTGAGCGTGTACTTCTTGCCTTTAAGCTTGTGCAACATCGTCACCTTGAAGCTAAAGGTAACACATGTAGAGCAGAGTCATCGCTAGCTCGTACGGAAAAGGGATCACCTGCCTGGGTGCGCAATCGGTAGGGCTAGCTGCGGCGTGGGAGCGGCTTCTTATGTAACGCCATTCCAGTAGATTAGAACATCAATGCAAACGGCTTCTTGAAAGCAGTAAGATTTGATAGGCTTAAAGCAGCAAAAAAGCACGATGCTATCGATTTAGTCTTCAACCGCTTGGCGCACTTATTCGGCAAGTAATGACAAACAATCTCGACGTGCGATTCACCCAGGTGGTGAATAATTCGCTCGCATCTCTTGCCGTGGAGGGTTTTCATCTGTAACAATGACGTCGTTCCAGAAAGTACTTACGACGCTCACGCTTGGTTGAAGCTGATTCGGAGACGACGGCGGTCACGTTCGTAGTTTTGCTTGCACCAGTGTCAGGGTCGCAGAGAAGGAGGCTAGCCGAACCAGCTAGAGATGATATTCTCAAGGCGTCCGGCGAGCCGTCAGAAAACGCTAGCGCATCATCGAGCTAGTTGAGCAGGAAGGTTAGGGCCGTGCTCCCTGGATATGGGGAAACTTGGTTGTAGTCGAAGGTAAAACTGAAGTGTGTTTGATATTGCGCTCCATACGAGGACGTTTTTTTCGGATTGTAAGAGCATGAGCCAGCCATCATACATATAACAAGCGCTTGGTATGATTGTGAGCCGAGGTAAGAAAAAAAACTGGAACTAAGTGAAATGTATTGACTGTTACAGATTTCACTTAAAACTTCAACTCGTATTTTCTGAATATCTTGTCATACTAATCTTGGCCCGAATCGTTTGTCAAATCAATAACGCCCTCATGAGACAAGTCAATAACATTGCCTGAACCTTGAGCGGGGCGGGCTTGAACTTGGACAGTTTGAGCTTGGGCCGTTGGACGTTGAACACGTCATAGTTTAAAAATCCTTGAGATTTTAACCACCTCTGTATGCTACACCCACCCGTCTCCCTAAACAATGAGATTTTTTAAGCACTGATCTCGGTCATCGACTCTCGAGGCTCGATTCGAGCATCCTTATGTCGAGTAGTCGCCTAACTTCTTACAGACGCCACTTTTTACGAGATGCATAAGCGGCTGATTTTTTTTAAATGATCCTTAGAGGCTCCAAATCGATCATGAAAAAATATTTTCGCCATTTCAATTTTTTTAAAAAGATCCTTAGAGGCTCCAAATTGATCATGAAAAAAATATTTACGCCTTTTCGTAGGTCCCCATAATGGGTTTCTACGTCTCCATAAAACAACCTTCGGCTTTGATGTGTTTGAAAGACACTGTTTTCAAATTGTCGACTAATTAATTGGACAATCGTACCTTGGGCTAATGATCTTAATGTTTTTAAACCTAGTTTATTTTCGTTTCTGGCTCCAGTGTATATAATTTAAAATCTTTACCCTAACCCATTCCAAGAAAAATAGAATTTAAAATATCACTCGTAAAAAAAACCAAATGAGGACATCGCATCATTATAGGGGGACTTCGCCGCCCACTAAAGTAAGTGACCAAGATCCAATGTACGTTTGGCTAATATATTACCGTTCTTAGCTGAGGTGGAAGGTTTGAGCGACACGCATGAAATTTATAAGTTTATTACGGTTTTCTTTATTTTAGTATTTTATCAAGTTTTGCGTCACATATAATTTGAATAAAACCTTTTTGTTTTTAATAACGTAAAGTATAATAAATTACCAGGTTTTAAATTCATGGAAAATAATACTCCTGTCAGATCCTTTCTTAGCTCTGAAATAGATCCTAAATGTTGCATTTACACACAAATTGAAGCGTACTGTTTCCTTAACCCCAATTAAAAATTTCGGAGTATATTCCGAAAAAGTGAATATGGATTAATTCGAGGTGTGCTCCTTAATTTTACAGTTTACAATTGTGAAATGAACGGCCTAGAACCGATGACTCGAGATTACTAGTCCACGCAGGTAAAATTACCGAGATTGATTAAATCTAGCAGGAAATACCAACAACTGGCAACGTCCATTCTTTTCATGGATTCAATATAGAAGTCACACATTACCTAAAGTTGAGTTTTAGGACAGGTCAATTTCACCCCTTATCTAAAGTCATAATAGATATAGCGTTAGACAGATATTGTATATTTCAAAAGGTGTCCAGCCCAATTCTCTAGTTCCGCTACTTATTCTCAAACGAAACAGTCCCTTAAGTTCAGTGTTCAGAAGAGTAGGAGTAGAGCATTACAAATAGAACCGACCACAAGTTGATTATAACGATTAATAGCGAATACATGTACGTTAGTGCTTCTCTAACGAATAAAAACGCCGTCCTAATTGAGCGCCCTGTCTGGAAGCGTCTTATAAAAATTTAACGCCATTGAATACAACGCGCTGCCTTAGACAATTTATAATTCTAGAATTTCTACAGAGCCCTTTAGGCTAACTTTTCTAAGCCAATCGTATTAAATAGTACCCCAGAATTCTAGAATTTCTTAAATCAATATAGTACCATTTAATACGATCATTCTCAATTTTGCTGTCATGCCGCCACAGCGCAAGAGATTCGAGATCAGTTTAAAATAGCGTGTGATCGACTGGTTAGAGACTGAAGGTGGTGGTATTCCATCACGTGCCGTAAGCACTTTCGTCAGTAGGGTTGGCGTATAAACGCATCATGCTTTCGGCAATGGTGGCGATGAAGCTTCATCTCGCTCTCGCATTATCGATGGTGCTCGCAAGTCACTGCTCGGGACTATCGAGAACGAGCTCATGGAGCTAATCTACGACAAGAGATTAGAGAAAGAGAGCGGAGAACTTAAAGCTTTCGCGCGGGCACGATGAGTTTGAGCTTGCGACAACCCTGCTTCCCAATGTGGCTGTCTGTCTTAGCCACCTGAGCTGTCAGCGCTAACCAAAGAAATACAACGCTATCGAATACAACGCGGTAATTCCTATAGACCGCGCTCTATATTAATAGTAGACGGCGTATTATTCCGTAATATACGTTAAGATTGTGCTCAGTAAAATAACAGCCAATTACATATTAACATTAGGTAATGCGGTAGTCCGTGGTGACCGTGACGAAGCATTCATTAAAGATTGTTGATTTGAAACGGTCACAATTCACAATTCTTTTTATTCAACATAGAAGTGACCTAGGACAAAATACGCTTATTGTCCTCTCCAGGTTTTACTTTCACAGAAATGGCCAAGTCGGTAAAACTTTCATGTACAGTTAAAATTTGGTGATTTATTGTTAATTATGTGCTGTTTCCGACAGTCCAGTCCGTTTTTCCTTGTTTTTAATTGAGACAGGACCTTTTAGGCTCTTCCGATACGGTATACTGTAATGGTACGGCAAATCCATTCTGAAAGCTACAAGTTCAGTGAAAAATCTGTGACAGTGATTATAGCAAATCACTAGACTAGATTGAGTAATAAGATCACGTACACCAGGTAGATACGGCATAGAATTCAGCGCTACGATCTAGCTCAGAGGGTGAGAGAGTCTTTGATCGAGAGTCTCAATGTTTGTTGCGCGAAATCAGCACAGTACATGTGCCACATGTAGTTGGTCGTTGCACTGCCACTGCTGCATTTTCAGAGTTCAATTTACTACCTTCTTCCTACTGCTAGTGTACTTCCGAAGTCCCCTTTACAACCATGAGGCCATTCGCTCCCACTGGCCTTGGACTGCTGCTCGCCTTCGCTCACAACGCAGCCGATGCTGCTCTTCCAAAGGAAGGTGCGGCGTTGATTGATACGGCGGTGGACCCGTGTACCAATTTCTACCAGTACGCGTGCGGGCAGTTTAACAAGACGGCAACGATTCCGCAGGGTCAACGTCGCGCTGCCTACGGTTGGGACGATCTCAAAGATCTAGCGGAAGCCATGTTCACGGCTATTCTCGCTGAGAAACAACTACCCGTCCTCTCCGACTATTACGCGTCGTGTATAGACACCAATACCATTAACGCGCTCGGGAACAAGCCACTCCAAGCTCGACTCCAGCGCATCGACGCCACCAAAAGCAAGGCCGACCTGAGTCACCTCGTTGGAGAGCTCGCTACCAGCTCATCGTGGATGTTTGTCGACGCGACCACAGGCTTTGGTGGAGCACCATACGACACAGAACTGATCATAGAAAACCTCCAGCTGCCGTTTGACCAGACGGTCTGTCTGGATGCCACCAAGCTGAGCGCCGAGCGTCCACGCATGCGTGAGTACATTGGTAAGGCGCTGACGCTCGCGGGTGTTAAGACATCGAGCGGTAAGAGTGTCAACATGACCGCGACGGCTGACATGATCATCGATACATACAAGAAGTCGGTCGATCTGCGACCGACCGACGATGAACTCAACAACGACGACACTATATTATCTCACAGTGAGCCACTGAATCGCTACCCGCTGTCATACAAGGGCATGATCGAGGGCACGGGGCTGAAGGTAAAGCCGGACTCTACCATTAACTTGAACTCGCTGAAGTGGATGAACCGTGTCGAGAAGGAGCTTTGGGGGTCACTCTCGATCGAAAATCTCAAGCTCTTCTACACCTTTATCGACGTGCACGGCAACCAGCAGTTCCTGAACGACGCACTTAGAAAGAATGACGCTGACTATTTTAAGTACGTCCCGGACAGCCGCGATTCCTTTTGCAAAAAAGACGTGATCGATCGGATGCCGCATCTGGCCACCCAGTACATTTACTCCCAATATTTTAGCGACGACCGTCGGGCGTATCTGCAAAACAAGGCAGGTCTCATCAAGCAGGAAATGCAAACCGAACTCTCGAACGCCACTTGGCTGGACCCTTCGACACGCAAGGAAGCGATCGCCAAAGTGGGTCGGGTCATGACGCTTTTTGGCAAATCCCCGGAATATTTCACCCCGCCAGTGAACGTCAAAGCCGCTACGTTCTTTGACAACGTCATCGCGCCCAAGACGTGGAATTTCCACAACGACTACTTTGCAAACGTCGGCAAGCAACCAGACCAGCAAATCTGGACCCTCCACCCGACGAGGCTACTGGTATCTAGATCAGGAGCGACATAACTAAACCGGTTAGCGTGTACGGCCGACAAGTGGACCAATTCAGCCACACGCGTGACTGGTTGTCGGAATAGGACAACGCCGCGTACAACTCGCGTGCGCGGCGCATGAGCGACCAGTACAGCGCACAGGTGCTATATGACAACAACGGCAAACCGTTGGGCCACGAGGATGGCAGCGCGTTGGTAGAGAATAATGTGCTTGTCAACAACGCTGTGAACCCTGCTCTCGTGGCGCTTCACATGTGGATGACAAAGAACCCTTCGTTCCCGACGAAGGGTTCCGCGGATGAAGTGGATAAGCTCTACTATTTGTCGTATGCCCAGACCTCTTGCTACAAAGGAACGGACGCATGGCTTAAGGATCAGCTCGCGAATGGCGTCCCTGAGTTTACCAATGTGCCCTTGATGAACTCGAACGCGTTTGCGACTACGTTCGGGTACAAGGCCGGCACCAACATGAACCCGGCCAAAAAGTGTCACGTTTGGTAGTCACACTAGCAATAAGGAAGAGCGACATGGCTAACTACAGTACTACTGTACCTAGTACTGTATTACGAAGTTTCATAACACTACTGTATGTAGATTAAAAAATACAGCCTCCGATAAAAATGAGTATGTGTTTAAGCGAGGAGAATTTACAATTAAGTAAAGCTTTCAAGCACATGTATTAATGGTGCTAAGTAAAATCGTACCTAAATGTGCTCTAAAACGTCCCAATCTGGTTTTACACTATATCTTAGTTTTCCTTGTTAATTATTCCGACAGTACATTGTCTTCGCCGGACCCGCTTGTATTTTCAATTACACCAGCCGAGCGCCGCCGCTACGCGACGGTAATTTAGGTTTCGTTTTACTTGCGCTGGCCTTATCGCCTCAGCTACGCTTGGGCGGGATAAATATTAAAAAAACGCTGAACCCATGTGTACCTACATCGATTCTTTTTAATTTCATTAATTTGGATGCTTACCTGATTTAAGAAATAATAATTCTAATGATCTTGAACCAGAATTCTTGATGCAATCTCTTTTTTATTGCTGGCTATCACTGTATCTTCATTTACCACCCAAAACCACCAGCACCTCAAATAACATTTATACAAACGCTTCACAATATGTCGTGCTCGATATCTCGGGCCATTTCTGAGCCGCTATGAAAATTAGCTCACATCAGCACAAACGATAGTAATGTCCTGTCCAGCTTGCACTGCTTACCTGCTTGTACTACCTATTTTAGCTTGTAAATAACTAAAGATTGTTCATCTCTCATACCAAACTCAATGAAAGCTAAACTATATTCAAATTGTACTCTTTTTTATTGTATATAGCGTTCATTTTGTGAATTAACACTCGAATCTGTGCCAGTTATGATTGAATTATTTGAATATTCTGTCGCAAGACGCCTTGCTAGTCTTTTCTATTTGATAATCTAACGATGATTTCCGGATTATTGGACGTCATTTAGGCTCCAAGTTTATTAACGTTTCTTTATGGGGTCTACTTAACCAACTATAATTCACACCTCTCGTGTTTTGTTGTTGTCCTGCCGCTCCATTTAAAATCGTATCGTACGCCCCTGTCGACGACACGTCCGCCAGTTGAGTAGTATCAGATTTAGCTGTCTTAACAACTCTTCGAAAACAATGGCAGCAGTAACACATATGAGTTCATTTATTCAATCCAAAACTATCTATCTATCTATCTATATGGATCAAGTGACAACGTTTATTTGCAGCGTTGTTCTTACGACCAGTTTCTGTTGTACATGTACTACGATTTGGCATTACCTCACTCTCAGTTAATTTATTAATATTTCTACAACGAAACAGTTTTAGTTATTATATTCATTGTAACTTGCAGAAACTATTAAGTGCAGAGTATTAAATATTTTTAGTGTGGCCTCGAAAACACGCATTCCTACGTGTACGGTAAGCACCTTGCAGCTTAGGCAGCGTCTGTAGGCTTTTTCATTTGATAATAAGTAGCTCCGTCTGTTTAGCACTCAAATATTAAAAGCAAAATGTATTATTAGAATAGTAAATATTAATACTTCGTAATATTAAAACGATGCCGCCTTGGATAGTCTTGTGCAAATCTCCATATGTGCTCTGTGAACCACATGAATTTACTGATGTAAGCTACATAATTCCGTTTTAACCAATCGAAGCCGTTTTCGCTCCGCTCGTCAGCCAATGGGAAGACTCAAAAATCTGAGCGTTTCGTGTGACGGACGGACGGATACCGTGCTAGCATTGATAGTTTAGGACTAACCGTTCGCCGCCGCTACGCGGCGGAGTGGCATGGTTTGTTGGAGATGTGGTGGCCGCAAATTTAAGTGCTTCTTGGTGTCGCGTGATTTGTGAGCGTCGTTCAGATCAGTACGTCGTCACTTCGTGTACTTAACCACTCACCCGTCCGTTGTCTCATCTGGACCCGTACAATATCGTGGTTTGGTACGCTTC